GCTCACCTGCAGGTGAGCGACATTCACACACTTGCATTTCCAGTGTAAACTCAGAATTTGGTTAGTGCTCCAGGAACGGCACGACTTAGCTCTTTTGTTTTTCTGGTGCATAGTAGCTGTACGTTCAGCTTGTCCGCAGGAGTCAAGCTGCCGTAAGAGTCCCGTAAGACGAGGAAGTTGAGAGTCACATTTCAGTGGACTCTCAGTTGATCTTCCTACCACCGTCTTCACCATGGAATATACGACGATACATATCCCTCTCTTTCCTAAACCGAGAAAAACAGGAGACGCAAGTCAGCAAAGTGGGAGAAAAGAAGGAAAAATGAATGTTAAAATATGCATTTAAGGTGATTGTCACATTCTAGTGGTCACATTCCAGTGGACTAGTCAGTAGATCTTCATGCCACCGTCTTCACTATAGTGATCATGAGGATGCACCCCCTCCTTCACAAAACAAGACAAACAGAAAGACACAAGTCGGCAAAGTAGGGGAAAAGAATAAAAGAATGGAAAGAGAGAGAGGCCGGGGAGGAGGGGGGGGGGCAAAAGTAGACGGAGACGGAACAGGACATGGGCGGTACTGGACAACACCCACACCGCGCCGAGAAGAAAAAGATGAGTAAGAATATGTGTGGAGGAGGCGGCCCCGGCGAGCAGCGGCATAAAATCAGTCTGGCGTGCAGCTATAAATTCATTATTATGCGTTTCTTTCCTGTCGTCTGCACAGCAGCAGCACGGGGGGAGCCTGGGGCGGTGTCACCAGTCAGTCCAAAGCACAGCGTCATCGCACTGAGCGGGGAAGATTGATATTTTATACTGCTGCGCGCTCCCACTGCTGCTACTGGTTCCTTTCCGTTTTGGAACATTTTTCCGACTATTTTTCTTCATTCTTTAGAAAATTGAATGACAACAGGAGGTATTAAGAGCCATAATACTGTCAGCTAAGTGTTGCCAAAAAATATATATTGTGGCAGTTTCTTGTGGTCAAAGGCCGTTTAAATGCGGTTTCAAACTGTGACTCTGCATTTTTGAGGAACAACTCGTATTGAATGACGATAGAGCATCTTTTCGGTTTTTCAGATCAGAACATACCACAAAAGGTCTAGAAAAAAAATCATGCAAGACCTATACATTTCACTAAATCTACTTTAAAAATATGGTGCACTTCTAAATAAACCATTATCTTTCAGAAAAGTGTTTCTGCGAGCTACTCAGCGTAGAACAAACGAGTATGGCAATTTTTGGCATGGCAACAGACAGGACCCGGCCTATCGGACTCACGTGCGCCTTTTGTTTCCCGCCACGCCACGGCCACGGGCCGCCTTGTCGGCGGCGTGTTCACACATTCCCCCACATCCCCCGCCCCTACTCCATCTCTGTCTCCTTCGCTCCTCTCTCTCTCTCTCTCTCTCTCTCTCTCTCTCTCTCTTTCCCTCTCGGCGCCGCGGGGATTGCCATTCTGACGTTTTCCCTTGTTTGATTAATCTAGGCTGATGAGAGGTGATGCTTTGGCTCGACGGCTGCGGGGGCGGAGGACAGAGAGGGGGAGGGGCCAGGCGCCGCCGCCAGGCAAAAAGAGCGCACTTCTCTGCGCCATCAGGTAACTCCACCCGGCCAGCAGCCGGGCTTAAGTCGTCACCGGGACAAAAACTCGAAAAATAATGGAGAGGCCGAATAAGGAACTCTATCGGGATGGTACTGAAAGCCACAAAGTGTTTTCTGAGTCTTTAAAGTTTACAAACCTTAAGATAATACTTTTTCAAATTATACAAACCTGTCACTATGAACAGAAATATCTATATTGCAGTTTGCGCATGTACCTAAGTTGCCAGAGGAGGGATATAGCAACTAAATTCTTAGTAGTGTATATAACAGTATGCATACCAGGTGGCTGATTCACGCCGCGACCGCGCACTTTCGTAGTTGTACTGTACTGAATGCACGGGTGCGGGTGGGCTTGCCTATCAGCGCTGCCCACGGCTC